GCCTCTGACCCTACCTGAACATAGGCTCACAGCTGTTACAGTCAGTTTAGATGGGGTCCTTCGAGAGCAAGCAGATCCTAGCTGAGGAACGACTGATGTCCTTGGAGAAGAAAGGACATGGACAGAGATGGGGAGGGAAAGGACAGGGAGAGAACGGGAGGGCCCCAGAGGTGATGGTGGGAGAGGCTGGAATGATGCAGCCATGGGTCAGAGGATGTCAGTGACTGCTGCCACCATCAGATCTAAGAATGGGCAAAGGGTCACACCAGTTTCAGGGACAGCCTGGCCCTGGTGATGCCTTGACTTTTCTATTTGAACCTCCATGAGAGGTAGGTAGGCTGATCGCTAGGCTGTTAATTCTGTTCCTATTGTGCTTCCTAAGAATTGCAATAATAGATATCTCTTCTTTCAAGCAACCCAATTCATTATACTTTTTTACAGAAGTACTAGGAAACTAATACCTAGGGTCTGAACAATTTGAACAGATGTGACAGAAAAGAAGAAATTATGCAGGAATTCATAAGGAATTTTTTTTTTTTTTTAGAGATTAAAATTTCAGAAGGGGGCTGGCTAAATGGCTCAGCAGATTAAAGCATCTGCTTAGACAGATGCAGGGGCCAGGAGTTTGATCCCGGAGCCTGCCATGCCAGCCCCACCCCCGGGGTGCATTGAGATGGCAATTGAGATGGCGTGGTGGCACACGCCTGTAATCCCAGCACTTGGGAGGCTGTAAACAGGAGGATCACTATGATTCCTGTCTATGCAGTGAGACCCTGTACACCCTGCCCTAAATAACAAAAATAAATGAATAAATAAATAAAAGGGGCCAGGGCGATAACTCAGTAGAGTAAGTGCCTGCTTGGCAAGCACAGGGTCCTGAGTTCAATCCCTGGTTCTGAAAAAAAAAAAAAAAAAAAAAAAAAAAAATTCAGAAGGAACATTTAGCTTGACCCACTCTTTGAAATAGGTCTCTAGTAGGCCTATGGAGCTGCCATCTGTAGGCATGTAAATAAATTTAGAAAACTCATTAGGGAAACACAGTGTTTGCTATTGTACCATTAGGACCAAGTAATTTTTATCATGAGAAAGATGAAAGTAGAGCAGTTTTCATGAAGATGTGTGTGATTGAGCCAGCTCCTTATTTCCTTTGCCAGGTAGAACTGTGGTGAGCTCTGGGCTCATACTGAAGCTGAAATGGCAAGAAGACTGAGGGGACTGGGAAAGATGGGATGGAGTTCCAAAAAGGGAACTCAGGGCCATTGGAGGTGGGCTGCCCACTAGGCTGTTAATTCTGTGAAGGTAGAGATGGAGCCCATCTTGTTCATTCTAATGCCTCTAGCGTCTGGCCAAATGCCTGCTACTTACTAGCACCTGAAAGGAGTTTTAAAATGTTAGACTATTTCCAACAAGCTTATTCATCTAATAAAAATCCACTTCATAGTTCACAATTCAGTGTGTCCTTGGTAAAGCCTTTCCACACATCTGTCTCAGTTACTCCTCTCGTTGCTGGAACACACAAAATGAAGAAAAGAAAGGTTTATTTAGCTCACAATTGATGGAGGTTTCAGTCCATACTCAGCTGGCTCCAAGGCAGAGCGGCACATGGCAGAAGGCAGCAGCTCATGGCAGCAGGAGGCAGCAAAGCAGGAAGAGCATAAGGAGAGGTAGTCTGTCTCTCTTGTTACATTCACGCTATCCCCTGCAGGCTGGGTGCAGCACTCACACCCCTAATCCCTGCAGCACTCACACCCGTAATCCCAGCCTTATATCATGAATTAATACACAAACTGTAGAGTTGCACCTCAGTGACTGCATGAGGCTTTGGCAGGGACAAATGCACACAAACCATAACATCTTTCCGTTCTTCCTTAGGGCTTCACCTCTAAAAGACAACTAACACAGGGGTAATGAAGTCTGTGGGAGCCGTATGAGTGCCCCATTGTCCAGTTCCTCCAGGTAGAAGACACACCGAGTCTGTACTCTTCTGTCTTTAGTTACTTACATATTCCTCAGAGTCCAGCTCCACAGCAAGCACACAGAAGCTTTTAAGGAGTCTAACACAAGGGTTGGGACTAGAATCCAGTCCTTCATGTAGAGATCAAATTCTTGCCAGTCACTAGTCAGTTATGTCACCTCATGTCACTTCCCAAGTCTCAGTTTTGTTATCTATACATCATTCTATCTGTCTCCTGGCATTGTTGGGAATATGAGAAACGGTAAGTGAAACACTTTGCACAGTGCCTGTGGTAGTTAGTGATCGGTAAATGTTAGATGCTATTTTAATCCAAGTCAGTTAAAAATAACAGCTGTTTCTCCACGATTTGGTGTATCACAGTTAAATTTATCACCTAACTTTCTGTGAGTTCATCTCAGCCAACTTCTCTCCTACCGGAAGTTGCTAATTCTCAGAAAAGAGCCACTCTGGCAGCATCCAGGAACACACATGCCCATCACAGGGAGACGTGCATTCGGGCTTTGAATCTGGAAGGGAGCCACGGTGGCAATGGGACATGCCTCCACAGCAAAACTTATTTTCACAAGTGTTGCTTAACAGCCTACTAAGGTGTTTAATGAGTGCCAAGGCTAGCAGGAGAACCCCTAAGCTGCCCTCACTGCTACACACAACTTCTAACAAGAAATTATCTTTTCCATTTGTACTTTTAATCACTTGTGAGAACAGACCTTAATAAGACATCCCTTGTATCAATGCCTGCAGCAGGCAACAAGTGTACAGCTGAACAGTCAAGAGCTTAGTTATGTTTCCATTAATAAAAGAGTGAAGAATTAAAGTCAGAGACAAAACTTTTGGGAAAACAAGGAGCCAGAGAAGCTACATAAGAGAATGAGATGCTTTATCTTAGAATCAGTGCTTGTCTGTTTCTGGCTGATCCCCTTTAACCAAATGTCTTCCTGGAACAACTATGTTGCTGTGTAAGAGAGTGATCTCCTTCCAGTGTAAGAGAGTGGACACAGAGAGTAGAAAGGTGGCTGCCAGGGACAGGAAGAAGGAAATCTGGAAGCTGCTGTAGTTAGTTTTTGGGGGGTGAGGCAGTGCCAGGAAGCGTGGCTCAGCGCCCTGCCCATAGTTAATACTGTTCTATGCACTTCAAAATCTGCAGAGGCTGGATCTCATGTGTTCTTACCACTTAACAAACAATAAAAAGAGTAAACAAGAAAATCCCTTTTAGGTTAAAAAAAAAAAAGAACCCCAGCAAACAGGAAGGTCAGGGCACATGTGAGTCTTTTTAGCTACCCATCCTCCTTTTACACTCAACTCTTTGATAAAGGTTTCTTCTCTCTGAAAACCTTGAATTGCAGAATTGTGCAGCAGACAGAAAAGGGCAAAAATACAACAGACAAGGATGTTGCAACACCGTAGAGCAGCTGACAGCCCGGGCACAAGTTACTATCATCTCTGCTTGGCTTTTTCTTTGTAGTTTGACTTATTTTTAGGGGTGGAAAAGCTCCTCAGCATTTGTTCTGGATTCCACTCAACACTAGCTTAGTGTTTATTTTACATCACATCAGTGAAACAGAAACCGTAATCCTAATCTATCTGCTCAGGAAATGTAAACTGAGCTCAAAAGCTATTCAGTGGGTGTGTTCACGCTTAGCTGGACCACATGTCAGAGCAGGGCAGAACTTCAGCAGCACAGGGTCTGTGTCCTTGAGACAGACACACGACTGTTGACTGCACCCTGTGAAGTGAGGTGATTTGTGGTCCAAGAACAGTGGCACTATGCAATCTGGGTGAGATTTCCTTAAATTACTGGACTAAAGACAACATTATGAGAATAAAATTCCTTTTCTTTCCAGCTTATCACTTTGTACCCCTTAGTTTAAAAATGTGCTTTGTAGGACCTATATAGCATTACTGAGGAAGGGGAAGCCCTTTCTACCGACAGCTTATGAAGCACCCTTAATCACAGGCAACACCGTTGGGTAGCAGCACCCTGACACCAAGCTCCTAAAATACTACACAGAGCATGTCTGGGGATATGCACCTAAACCAGAAGAAATTCAAACGTTTTGGCGTGTTAGAAAACGCAGACATCCTAGGGTCTGTGGCCACGTGCACTCCTTTGGAACTGCTCCTGTGTATGTGCTACGGTTTGTCTCATGCAGTCACTAGAAGGGGCACCTTCTAGTGTGATTAATTTATGATCCAGTGATGGGACTATGAGTGCAAATGAGCACTACACAGCCCTGGGGCAGGTAATCTGCATACAGAGGTGAGGAGAGGGGAGAGGCTGGCTAGCAGCCTCAGCTGCAGTCCCTCTCTTTGCTGTTTTCTGATGCCATGAAAGGCTGCCCTCTGCCATGTGACACTCTCCCTTGGAACCAGCTGAGTATGGACTGAAACCTCCACTAACTGTGTGCTAAATAAACCTTTCCTTCCTTAATTTTGGGTGTTGGGTGTTTTGTCCCCAACGAGAAGAGTAACTGAGACAGTGTGTATACAGGCACACACATGTATGCAAATGGTACCTTTCAAGGCAGAGTGAAGCACAGAGAAGTTAAGTTGCCGTCTACGGTACAGGAAGCAGAGGGCAGGCTGGCCTTATGCCTGCGCCCTGTGTACAGACCAGGACTACCCTGTCCTGGCGCAGTAGCAGGCCCTCCTGATCCTTGACCAGGGCAGCTTCTCTAGTTCCCCTGCTTCTACATCCACTTCCTTCCCTGACTTACAGGCCCCCTGAGCACTGTTCCTTCAGAAGACTATCCAGTGGGTACAGAGAAGGTTCAAATTCAACTCTGCCTAAAGGTGTTGAGAGCTGGGGAGATAGCTCTGAGGTCTAGGTGCCTGCCTGGCAAATGCAAGGACCTGGGTTCTATCTCCAAACCACATGCTGCACTGGCCCTGCTCCGGGGCATGAGCCGGCCATGTAAACTGGGCGTGGTGGCACACGCCTGTAATCCCAGCACTGGGGAGGCTGAGACAAGAGTATCACTATGAGTCCAAGCTATACAGTGAGACCCTGTTTTAACTTTTCTAAAACTTCAAATTTTAGGATGATTTTTATTTACAAAAATTACAAAACATGACTCTTAAAAATAGAAATAACTTCTGCAGGCTTTGTGCACTACTTCCACACAACCCGGGGCTGGAGCTCAGGCACGCTCTTCTGAGAATGGTGACATCGCTGCCGTGTAGCGCTTCTCACCACGCAGCAACCAGCTCTGGTGCAAACCCCCTCATCAGGTCAGAGTCTGAAGCAGCAAGATCTTCTCATTAATGCAGAACCTGTGCAGCACCACCATCAGGTTCTCGCCGCAGCGGGAGACCTGGCGCTCCATGGCCAGGCGGAAGTCCTCCTTCACACCTTTGGTGATGCCACGAGTGACTGTGTGGTGCCTGAGGTTAGTGACAGGGAAACAGACAGAGACCAGAAGTGAGCAGCAGCATCACTGACTGGTGCTACTTACGTAGGAATAAAGCTGTATCATATCTAAGTATACATAAGTAAAAACTTATGTTTAAATCAAATTTAAAAAGAAAAGCTGCAACCAAACAACCACTCCTACCCACTCCTGCTCAGCAAGACTTGAAACTAGAAAGGTATTTTTACCACCCCATATAATTTATTTGAAACACTTGTGCTCAGTGAAATGCCATTGAATCCCTGAAGCTCTGATCTGACACGTCCCTACTGCTGGCTCACTAACAGTGCTGTTACGTGGGATGTGAAGGCTGCTGTCCCACTGGCTATGACTACTGGCATCCAGCCAGGCCAGCACACTGGAGAAGCAGCAGCAGGGAAGCAGAGATCCTGAGAACACCAGTTCCTGCCAAGGTTCGCACAGCTGGGGCTCCTGAAGGGCTTCTGCAGTTCCTAGAGTCCTGAGGCATCTCTTTCCCCAGGGTACCAGAGGGCGGCACCTGAGAGTTGGGCCCACCTACACTTTCATCTGCTTAAAAAAAGGTATCCTGAGGCAGGAAGGTGGCATGGGTTGGGAAAGGGACAGGATCCTAAGAAAGGTCAGTGGCCTCCAAGTCCCCGGAAGACAAGCTCTGTCCAGGTGCTCAGAGGGACCTGTGTGTCTGTGGAAAGGTCAGTGAGAGCACAAGTATCGGGGTGTCTCACTGTACCCCAACACATGCATATCAGAAAAGGAAATCACAAGCAAAGTCCCAGAAAACTGAAGACAACCAAATGAAGACAGGAAAGGAAAGCCAGCGAAAATCAGTGGCTCGGAAGGAAAGGAGTTTCAGCTACTGTGGCAGCTGTATGACATGGGACAAGATTCAGGCCAACGAAATCCAGTCCTTCACTGCCCCCTACTGCTGCCTAACTTCCTCAGGCAAGGAGCAACATTTCAACATTAGCTTTCTGTTCTGGACAAAATAACCTCTGGACATCACTCTAAAATATTTGTTTTAAAGTATTAATTATGAGAAGTAAACAGGAGTCATAAGATTGCAATACAATAGAAGAAAAACATCAGGATTTGTTAAGACTGGTGAAGCTATTACAAAACAAGCTACAATGGCCATGGACATTTTTAAGAACTATGTGGTGACACAGGAGGGCCATGGAGAAAATGCACAGTTCTGTGTGTACATCTCAAATCCATAGCTAGGACACAGTGACAGTGAGGTGGAAGCTCTGAGTCCCTGTGGGAGTGGATATAAACCTCGTCGTGCTGCCCTGAGACACTGCTCTTCCAGAGCCTGGGCTGCAATCCCAACCTGGCCAAGCAGATGATGCTGGCATTTGCAGGCAGGGAGCTAACAGGCAAACTGTCCCTGTAATAGGACTAAAAGTATGGAATCGCACCCTTGCTGATCATGGTCTGGTGGTTTCGTTTCCATATACAAAGAGCAGCACACAGCTCATTCTTATTTCCATCAGCACCTCTATTCCCTTAGTAAGTTTAGGTAAAGAATTACAGTCATGCGCCACATAACAACGCTGCACTCAACTAGGGACCATGTTGTTCCCCTACAGCCTGGGTGTGCTGCAGCTCACCACACCCACTAGGTTTGTGTGTGTGCACACTCTGCAGTGTTCACACAAACAACGATGAAATCACCCAATGATGTGTTTCCAGAAAATACTCTTGCAGGTAACGCATGACTGTAATTAACTTTCACTTTAAAAATAGGATAAATTATCTAATCAGCATGGCATTATTTTAGCTTATAAAACATTTTCAATTCAGAAAGGCAGGGTCTGAAAACAGTACCAGTGGTTGGAGGAAACTGCTCATGCCCAGTTAGATCAGCACTATACTGGTCCCTAACATTAGAAATCCTTCTACAAAAATTTATCTCTAACTTCAGCATCCTAAGTATTTATGACCTCAGGTTTTAGCAAGAAAATCATAGTTCAGTACTTAATTGAATGTGCACTTAATTTAATACAATTTTATAAAACTTTCATATTTATTTCCAGATCCATAATGATTTTTAAATTGAACACAAACACACTGGCAACTTATGGAAAAAAAATAAGAAATGTTACAATATTACAACCAGATGGTTTGCTAAGGAATGCAGAACAAATTAAAAAAATAAAGCATGAAAAAGAGCACTGAAGAACAAAGAGCTGAAACCATGGGCTGGAAAACATGTGGACAAACAGCACACTATGAGCAGGTGTTTCCACGTGGTACCTGTCAGCAGTCTGTATGCTGGGCTGAAGCACAGGTAAGAATTCCTGCTGCAGTAACCCCAGGGGAGGGCTAGAAGGCCTTTAAAAAACAGCAAACAGCAGCATTCAAACACCCACACCGGCTCACCCTGCACTGCAAAAACAACACTCCGGAGAAGATACACAAGACTGAAGCGGACTGTACAGAGACGTTAACTGTGACGCGCCCCTGGCTGCAGTATGTTCCGGGGAGACTGGGGAGAAGCGAGACAGCCCTCACTGCACTGGCTGGCTGTGGGGAGGGGCCAGATGCCACCTGGCTGCTGGCCCCAGAACTCAATCCACTTGAAATTTGGTATTAAAAGCCACCAGTGAGGAAGAAGACAGTGAAATGCCCCTGGATGGCAGAGGAACAGCATTATCATTTGGGAGGACATATTTGCAAATCCAGCCTTGACTCTGTGCTCTTCTCACGCCCATGCCAGTCCCAGAAACACACCTGGTGACTCTGTGTAACACCTCTAAAAGGACTGAAACCCCAACTGAGACACCCTTCCAAGAAGACTAGAGGGGCTGGCAATATTTTTGGTAAGCAAAGGGTGAGTTTCAAGATCAAATAAGTGTTACAAAAAAAACAAAAACAAAACAAAACAAAACAAAAAAACACTGATGGGAATAGGGAGGGAAAGTCTGGGACCCATAGCTTTGCAGAATTCTGTAACAACAAAGATTTAGTATATTAGCTGTGATTACCTCTAGGACATTATTATTTTCCATTTCAGTCCAGTCTAACACAACTAAGATACTGCAAATATCAGCATAGAAACATTTCTCTATTTTAAAACAAGAGCAACATGCCTACATGGCACCTGAAGAGCTGGTGCCTCCTTCAGTCAGGCACTGGGTGCCGTGTGTGTACCATACCTGCTCGGAGCCAAGGTGCCACAACTAGGACAGACTCACAACCTTACCCCAGGGAAGGAGCTGAACTCTGCTCACAACATCTGCCACTCAGCGGGAGGGACCACCCCAAAGGTCTGCAATGGCTTCAGAGGATTTGTTTGGAACCCAGAGGGAAAAGGAATATAGATAGTTTTATTCAAGAGTCTAATTAGACCTCTATTAGTAAAAGCTCTCTGTCTGATGTAGTTTCATTCTCCTACAGTAGTTCAGCTATCCATTCTCTGAACTGCAGGTCTGAAATTCACTCTGAGACTCATGCAGGCAGGAAAGCCCCAGCAACTCCTACAAGGGCAGATGAGCGGGACAATCCCTGTTCTTGTTCTCACACTGATGAAACTCTAGCTTTCCTAAGAGGCTTGTCTCCCTGGCAAGTTGGAATAAGTTAAGGGTCAGATTAAACAAAGTACGTGAGCCTGGAATTATCCTTCAAAGGTCTAGAGATGCAGATTGTGCACCCCTTATGCAAACAACCCAAATAACCCTTTCCTGAGATGTTACCTGGGTGTCGTAGGGGTTGTCTATATATACCCATGACACTGTTCAGTTCAAGAAAAACTAGGACAAGAAGAAAGGCTGAAGGCTAAGGTGCAGCTGCGGAGGGGTATTTTTTTGTATTGGGGATTGAACTCAGGACCTTGCACTTGGCAGGCAGGTACTTAGTTGGGGAGCTGACTGCCTCTCCTTTCAAACTGCTACAGTTGAGCCTAGCTCCTAACATGACATTCCTCTGGAGGTTTATTCCCAGGGAGGAGGGTGGTTTTGCTAGGACTGCTGCTACACTATGACAATTTGTACTGTGACTGTTGACGAGCTCACATACTGCATACTTGGTTTCAAAACCTAGAAATCATAACACAAAAGGGATTACACTCGGGCTCCCACACAAAAAAGTAACCTTTATTCTCATATAACATTAAGAGTATTTTTAACTGCGTGGTTGCTTGCCCCTGAGCCTTGATCCATCATGTCAGAAAAGTAAATGGGGAAGGGAAGATGAGCCTGTCTAGGCCATCTTGCTTACGCAGTCTTATGGATAAGGATCTCATGTTTTCAGAAAGGAGCATTTGCTTCTTGACTTTAAATATTTACAAATTCAATACCATTTATAAGATCAAGGGAAAAAAACAATCCTTCCATTTTTCAGAAGGGATTCCATAAGACCCTATTCTTGGTAGGACATAAAAAGAAACGCACCACATGACTAAGGCTTTAGAAATCCAGAATGATTATCTATTTTTCTCCTTCAATATTTCTAAGACTCTACAAAGAAAAAAACATGAAATTTGCTTTTAACAACTAGACATTCCTTTATTCCACAATTGAGGGAGAAAAAAAAATGTCTTCAGTCTTCGCAATCCTTCCTTCCCACTCAGGTTCTGCCTCTTGTGTAACTCTAACACTGACTTACAGACACACTAAATGTGCAGGAAGCAGAGGTGGAGGTGTGGAATAAAGCTACACGTGGCACTTACAGCAGAGGGCGTATTACCCAAACCACAATGAGGACCAAGGAGAGAAGCAAGATTCATGAGCTATTTAAAAATCATAAATGGTCACTGCTCTGACATTTTCATCTGGGTCGCCTGTTACTTCACCACCATTCTGTGGGAGGCGGGGTCTGTCTGAGACCAGGCATACCTCCACCATTTCTTGGGGCAAGCGTGTTTTTGGAGACAGCAGGCCTTGCTCTTGCACTCTGTGCTACAAGCAATGAAAACTGCTTTCGGAGGGCTTGAAAGAGAATTTACAAATGAAAGCTGCTTTTCCTAATGGTCTTTCCTACCAGGGCAATTTTAAACATGGCTACTCTTACTTGTAAGCACTAAGTCTAATCAGACATTTATAAGACCAGTGTGTAAATTCCAGAAAGGAGAAGATATTAGGAAAGAAACTTCCATCTAGTGAAAGTTCCATATTTAACAGAAATACCCCAATTTAAACTTATGTTTTCTCTAAATTAATTAAGGAAACAAATGTTTCCAAAAGTACTGAGTCAAACTGACACTCAAAATAGACTAGGTTTGGTATTAAGTTTTTGAAAGACACAGAAATTTACAAATAGTTCATAGAACAACAAAAAAGAACTTGGAAGACGAAAGAGAGTCTGCTTACTTGATCAGCATTCCTTGATTGGGTAGTAATTCCAGATGGATCTTCCCACCTTCCTGAGTTCTCAAGTAGGCAAATTCCTCCAGCATATCAATGTCTACAGCCAAATTCAGGTTAACCACACAGAGAATAAGGTGCCCCGCATTCTAAGGTGAGGAAACGGGCTCTTGGGAGTTGACAACCTGTCACCATTCCACTCACTACTACAGGTTGAGGATTTGAATGTGCTTGATTCCAAAACCTCTAGCTCATAGCCCAAACAAACTGCTGTAAGATAACTCTTGGCTTATGATGTGCAGGCTGAAGGACACTAGGACAGTATGTTTCCCTCTAGAGATAGTTTAGCACAGTTATATGATTGTGAGAGCAAATACTGTTTCTTAATGAGGAATCAGAGACAGTGGAAATAGGGAAGAGTGCTTTTGGTCACAGAATGAATCATAAAAACAGAGTGACTCTTTCTTCACACCTACTGTGCAAAGCTTTACAGAAGCTACAGGGTGGAAGCTTCTATAAATCCAGAAAATTTCAAGCAACATTTGATATTCCTATACACATTTTTCTGGTGAAAAATCATGTAACTCCCTGATAACTCTCTTATTAAGTATTTAACTTGAAAAAATTAGTTCATTTAACAATTTTAACTGAAACAAAAATTAAGGCTGTCATTAGATTTTCTAAAGGTATTTGTCTAAAAGAGGTTAAGAGTTCTTGCTATGGACACTTGAAGAAAAGCATGTATCTCACAAGTGAAGGCTGAACATAATGCACTAAGCAATTGCGACGCAAAGTGCTCCCTAGCACAACAGGCACCTGCTGCGGAGGGCATGCCATGTGGCTGCTCTGGAGGGGCTGGCAGAGCTGCGGACTGGTGTGCTAACAGCTCGAGGGGACAGCAATGCCCCAGGAGAGGCTGCAGGGCATCTTACGATAGAAGAGGGCCCCAGAGCTGTTCTGTTGTACGGCTACAGTGATCATTCCACGCTGTCCAGAACTCATGGGCTAACTTCTGGCATCTTGGGTACTTTCTGAGAAGCCCGGTAGAAATGGAAAATGGAACGGGTGGTTGATATTCTTGAATACATCTCTGCTCTTAGGGCTTTAAGATCAACTGGTACATACTCATTTCTAAACCACCATCCCTCTCCCTCACTCAAGAGATAGTAAAAACCAGTACTTCAAGCCAGAATGGTTCTTTTTTTTTTAAAATCTCAGATTCATTAATTCTAGTAAATCAGAATTTGCTATGCTTATATAAGAAAAAGGATACTTGTAACATAATTGAAAAAATTCTCATACTGGAAATTTCCTTGTTGGCAAATCTTATTGACCGCTTTCAAGAACAGATTCTCTCCCCGTGGCCACTCCTGTTGAAGCAACACAATCACATGCCCCAGGGCCATGTCATCGCGGTTGTCGGTGAAAGCTCTAAGCTGCAAAACGTTTACACGGGGAAAGGAAAGCATGAGGAAACCAGATAAAACATACCAACTATTAGCTCTTAAACAGTGCCGCACATAAGTGTGTGACCCAATCTTATGGCCAGTTTTCTAGCTCATGCTTCCTCCTTGCTCACACCTTCCTTCCTAAGCCCCGTGCTCTCCAGCCCTCTCCCCCAAGTGGCCTTTTACCCACCGTCCACTCGCCACTGTCCTCTAAAAGGAAAGCTACAAATTCCTTTCTGTGTTAAGAGTGTGACTCAACTTCTCTAGGCCTGACTCTCAAGATTCCAAAGCAAGAAGCTCACTGCTCCTGTGCAGCTCATAGCTGCGGATATTTGGGGACTGTGTTCACAGCACAGGGCGCCCAGGCTGCTGTCACTAGGAGTCGCCCGTGGAAGGCAGTTCTGATGTTTCTGAGCAGCTTTTCTCTCTGCTTTGTTACCTTCATATTCCAGTGACCTTTGTCACTGTTGCCCCAAACAGAAACAATGAAGAAGTTTGCAACTGTTGCACTGGAGCAGAGACCACATTGGCTCTTGCAACAAGCAAAGCATCTCTCCCCCTGGTGCTGTTCCACAGCTGCCAGGGCCCTGGTGTCCTTTCAACAGTCCATGAACCCTCCTGGCACTGTCAAGCCTCTGCTGCTGTAGATCTTGGTATCTAAGGTGCCTTCACCCATCCCATCTTGCTGAAAAATTCACCCTTTCCCTGTGAAACCAGCGGCATTTATGTCCCCTTCTTCAACAGCTAATAAATTCTGACCTGTACATTAACTTATAAAATGTTTAGCAACATTACTATCGGTTATTTGCAGGTTTCCCTGTTAGCAGTAAACTTTGTGAGCATGAGGTTAGTTTTCCATTCATCTTTATCTAGTACAATTGTTATTTAATGAATATTTACTCATCCTTAGCACATGTGCTTTTGCCACCACTATCAACTACTCTTTAAAGATATTCACCTCACAACTGTCAAGGAGGCTTTCCACTCAAATCACTGCAAGTCATAAGCACAATATCTTAAGGCAAGTGTTCACGCTCGTCAGCTTTCGGCTTACCTTAAAGCAGGCTAACATCAAGTGCAGGCAGTACGGCATGATAGCTTTACTGGTGCAGGGCAGGAGCTTCAGATCCGAACCTAGCAAGTCCAGAGTTACTCATGTTAATGAATACTACCATCGAAGAAAAATCTCTGACAAGCGAATGTCTGAGATCATTTCCTTCTAAAATTCAAAGAGTAACAGTCACATGATTTCTAATAAAGTGAAACCACAACCATATTGTGAGGTTGAAACTGGTTTTAGATCGTCCCTATATTTCGTTTTTCAATCTTTTTTTCCAAACACATTTAAAATATTTTTTACTATAAAACACTTAAAATATACAGAAAATCATATAGAAAACATTATAGACACTGATGTAATCACCACTTACCTTTATAAAGTGTTAGTATTTTCCAGATTTTAATACAAACCATCACAAAGTCAAAGCTTCTTGTCTCCTCTGATGCTACTCTCCTCCTCAGAGGAAGGCACAATTCTGTGCACTCCTACACCTGCTGCTTGTGTCCACCAGCAGCACAGAGGAGTGTCTGCAGCTGCCAGTCTACCGCACCACATGGTGTCACAGTGTGTCACTCCCTCTGCAAATTGTTTTTTCCACTTAACCTCAGGTGTGTCAGGTTTATCACTTGGACTCTCCCTCATTTCAGTATTACGTAGTATTCTGCTTGTTACAGGTCTAATTATTTATCCTCCTCATTGCAGACAATGAGATCTCCAGTTTTTCACTATTAAAACCAAAACAATTAAAAATACATACAATTTTACTGTGCACTTATGGAAAAAAAATTTAAGCAATGGTATTTATACCAACACCTTTTTCTTTATGGCTGTAATTTTATATAGTTTAAGTCCTTCTCTATCTAGAAGCAAGAAATAAGAAGAAATAAATCCTTTCTTTTTTGGCCCTTCCCTGCCAAAATACAATTTGGTATACAGGAATTGTGTCCCTGACATTCTTAACATTTATTTATATAAACGGTTTATGAAATAACATTTATCCTTTTACTTGGAATGTACTTGTTTACACTGTATCTCACTGAAAAAAAAAATCAGTTTCCCACTTGAAACTCACTGCCCAGTGGGAAGAGTACCCAGTTTGAAAAATACTCATCAAAGTTACAACTAGGAGATGAGGTATTTGCTACAGCAGGATATGTTCAATTGGTTTCCGAAGTGATCATATGAATTTACACATAACAAGAACTATAAGGATAATGTTATTTTCAGATCATGAAAATCAGTACTGTTACTCCTTAATTTTTATATCTGACGTATACAAAATGGTAGTTTGTTATTTTAATCTCATTGCTCATATTACTAATAGGATAAGAAGTTTTTTATTTTTTTCCTTAATTTTATTGAGAAACAAATAACAATGAGACAGTTTCAAATCAAATTGGTAAGATAGTTCCAATAATTAACACATTGCATACTGTCTTCCTAGTGGTTGTTGTACAAGACGCAGACATAATATCCACTAACAGGATAAGGAGTTTTTAAAAGCAGCTTTTTGGCTGTGCATGTTTCTGCCTCGCTCATACCCTTTGCTTATTTTCCTACAGGAGGTTCGTTCTTACTGATCTGATAAAGCACTTCACATTTTTGGATGTTTTTGCTGATCTTCTGTGGTAGACAGTTTTCTGGCCATCTAGAGTTTGCCTTATTCACTTTGACCATACTGTTAGTATTTTAATTTTAATATATTTTCCAATCCTTTTATTTTTATTTTTGTTGTTGCTGATGAGACATGGGATTGCATACTGCTCAGGCTTGGCTTACACTGGTGGCGCCCCAGCCCCCCTAGTACCTAGGATCACAGGGGTGCACTAGCACACCCTGCTCTGTGTGCTCTTGGAAGTCCAAGTCTGCATAAGGGTTTTCTGTATTTCTTCTAACAGTTTAAATTTTCATATTTAAATATCAAAATTTAAATGACTTTTATATAGCTCAACGAGGCATCTCTCTGCTGTTGCGTTTTACATCTAGATAGTCAACATTTTATTACCACGTACTGGATACATGCATTCTTCTCCCACTGAACTGCAATGTGACCTTTTCTTGCTTTTTTTCTGGAACTCAGGACTTCACCCATGCCAAACAAGCACTCTGCCACCAGACTATACTCCCCACCTTACCTATTCGTTTCAGAAGCTTTCTACAGACTTTCTTTTTCTACACAGCCAGACCTGCAATTGTAAAGTCACACCTGTGTGTAGTATTTTTCAGCCTTTATGCCTTTTTTTTTTTTTGCAGTACTGGACCCTGTGCTTGCCAGGCAAGCGCTTATTCTACTGAGCTATCTCCCCGGGCCCAACCCTTATGCTTTTACAGTCTTACTGTCCTGGCCAAAATCTCCACCGTGTGAAATAGAAGTGATGGGAGTGTTGATATATCTGTATTGGGGAAAAGAATTCAATATTTTACATTTAAGTGTGGGGTTGAGAAAGCACTTAGTGACGACTTTTTAAAAATTGCAAACAATACTCTCTGTATTAAGATTACTGTGACTTTCCTTCTTTGGTAACACAATGAGTTACCTTAATCTGTCCGTTAGCTGCATTTTCACTCCTGGTCCTTGGCTAGTACATACTTCTCTTCTTCAATATTCAGCTTGCTAAGCTGCACTCAGTATTTGGCACCTATATTTATGATGGATACTGCCACTTATTGGTCTTTTCTTGTAAAACTCTCATTGCATTTTGCTATCAGGATCATGCTGGCCTTGAAGTATGAGCTGGGAATTTGTCTTTATTTTCTTAAAGAGTATGTACTGGGTTGGTGCTAGTTCTCTTAAATACGTGATATAATTCACCAGTACAAGCACTGTGACCCCATTTTGTGTTGGGGAAGGTTTTGGATTTTAAAAACTTAACTTCTTTTTAGATGTACAAACATTTAGTTTTTCTATTTTATTTTGGATAGTTTTGGTAAGCTGTATTTTTCAAGGAACTTTGCCATTTCAACAGAATTAAATTTATCGGGATAAATCATTCATTCTCTAATTATTGTCCTTTTCATTTGAGTAAGATATATAGTGACATTTGCCTTTTCATTTTTTATATTACTAATTTATATTCCCCCTTTTTTCAATCTTGCTAGGGTTTATCAATTTCATAAATTTTTTTCATGAAAATTGCTTTCAGTTTTCTCTATTTTGTTCTCTATTTTACTGAATTTTGCTCTTGGAATGATTGTTGCCAGTCTTCTGCTTTCCTTATATTCAGTGTGTGTCTCTTTGGCTAATTTTTGATATGGAAACAGGTATACAGTTTTTCAAGCAATGTGAAATGAGATGAAACACAAATTGGTCCAAAGACAGACCAAGAGAAACTTCCTAGTTCATCACCTATAAATTGCCTACAATTGGTCAAGAAAGAAAGAAAAACAAAACAAAACAAAACAAAAAACCCTCATATTATTCAAAGAAGTACTAAACTCGGGAAGTGAAGTTTGCAAGAAAAATTCATAGTTGCTTCTGAGAGTGGAGCCAACGACCGAGGGAATAACATTTCACAAATCACAATGTGCTAAACCCTGCAGACCACAGTACTATCACCTTGTTAGGAGCTACAAAGCATTTCTCAGCCTTGGGGCCTAAAGCTACTTACAAAATAATAATACATTTGTCACTGTACCTTTCCTAAACTTGGGCTTCACTTTTGCGGGCTCCTCCTGGGATCTGCCTCCATCCTGAATGGGTAGGACCATGTGGCACATCAGGTCCAGGACTTTCTCACACGTCATCTAGAGGAAGAAAGACCAAAGGAACCAACTGGACGCTGCAGAACTGAAACCACACGAGCATCACAGCGAACATTTCAGCAAACTGCCAGGCAACGGGCAGCTTGTGGCTCTGCCTCAATGCTATTCTCTCCATGTGACCATTGCTGCTTGCTCAACAGTGAATATAGAAAGTAAAAATAAGACACAATGTATGTATGAGAGGGTACAACAGCCCACTGTTTGTGTTAAAAAATGAAACAAAAGATAATTAGTCTGGCGTTAACTGAAACCACCAACATGTTTAACAACATGGTAGCATCCAAAAAAGGGTATTGGCCTGTCAACATTTACTATCTCAACAAAAAGTCAATGAAGAAGACACAGAAAGGAACTAAGTGCTACGCTACAGAGCATTGTGTACAACAGTCAAGATACACATAGGCTGAGCCAGTAGGAAATGCTCTGGGCAGGACTTGATCAAAGTATGAAAGGGGGAGGGAAAAAGTCTTCCTACAAAACAGAACAATGAAAGGGAAATGTGAAAAGTTACCCAGCCACAGTAGCACATGGAGGCTAAGGCAGGAAGAGTCCTGTGAGGTTAAATAAAGCCAGGCTGGGCTACTTAGTGAGTTAAGGGCCAGCTTGAAATACATACCAAAACCTTGTCTCAAAACAGAAAAGAAAAAAGAAAAAAATGTGAAAAATCCGTGAAAGTTACAGTAAAGAGAAATCAAGTTTAAAAAAATCTTTGTGATTTTCACCAAAAGTCTAAGTAATGAGTGTAGGCAGAAGATGATACGCAAGCACAGAGGCACTGAATCAGGCCATTCTAGGGAGATACAGGACAGGTGACGCTGTCCATGTGAGGGCTGGGTGCAGCCCGGGGCTTACCCTGTACTCCCCTAGAGCAAAGTGACAAGTTGCCAGCTGGATGAGCGCCCTCTGATGCTCCAACGTGCCCTGTCCTGGAGTCTGTGGCTGAGAAAGTGACCCTTGGAGAGCTGCCAAGTGGTGCAGGCTGGCTATTGCCTTTTTATACTGCCCCTTGGAAGACAGAACAGCAAGGAAGGAAAAGATGTTAGTGACCTCCAGAGCTAACCAAGCACCCATTAACGATAAATGAGGCAGCTCTGCATGATCGTCTGAGGAAAAAAGGAGACCCAGCAACAGAACAACATCAACACACTTGGACCTGGATGACATTACTTCTAAGTACATCCATCCCTGGAAATCCCCGGGGGATTGGTTCTGGCACCCCAAAGACACCCAAACCTGTGGAGGCACAGGCCCCTATATGCACTCTGCACACTCTCTTCTGGACATATTAACCATCTCTAGTTCCTTGTACATAGTATGTAATGCAATACATAGTGTAATGAACAGCTGGTAACCTGTACTGAACAGAGAACGGTGACAAGAAATAGAAGTTGTACAGAGCGGCAACCATTTTTTTCTTATTGTTTTACCTATGCTTGATGGAGTCTGAGGATGTGGAACCACAGCTAAGAGGCCCAACAGTACAGAGATGAATCTTTCTGGTTTTAAGTCTTTAAATAAAATAACACAAGTCCTGGGACACTATACATTTTGGATCTACCATTCCTATGGAAGGTTTTCTCTACTAATACCACTGCTTCTTCACAGAGGATGGAAGGACAGACCTGACCACTTTCACACTGCACTAACGAGCTGTCTGTGTTTGCTGTGCCCGGGACGAGGCTCTGAACCCCTGTGCTAGCACAGAAAGGCAGGACTCCAGCAGCACAGAAGGAAGGTGGGTGAGGCGAGAAGTATGGACCTTCTCGTGAAAAGCAAAAATAGTACTTCTGTATGGAGTGGTGAGCAGACATACCACAAGTAACAAGGAAGGATGGTCTGAGCATTTTCAAAGTATTTTGAGATGAAAGCGGATCATATACCCTCAGCCACTAACGACTAAACACCTCGGAACATGCAAGGCCAGTCTCTGAGAGGGATCATAATCATGAACAGGAAATGAGAAAAATTAGCCAGGCATGATAGTATACATTTGTAATCCCAGCACTCAGGAGGCTGAGGCAGAAGGATCTCTGTGAGTTCAAAGCTACTGGTTAAAACTGGTTTGAAGCCATTATCATCCTCTCCACACATAGGTACCCAAAAAAGTGCATCACTCCACCTGATAGATGATCATATCGGTGAGGAAGATTCTTAACCACAGCCAAGTGTCGGTCTTCCATGCCAAACAAATTCTTGTAAATTCTGGAGAAGAATTGAAACAAATTCACCAAAAACACGTAATACAAAAGCAGGAAAAATATACCTAATAAGTCCTACAAGAGGCAGAGACACATTACCAGAAGATGCATAATTACTTTAAATTCTGATTTTTAAAACATGTGCCACAATTTCGTGCATAACTTAAGAGTCTAACACTCATTAATAATAAATAAATGATTTTTTTTCAGACAATTTATAAGCATATCCTGTGCCAAGAACCGTGTTTTTTAAGAAATTAGTTCATTTATCTTTAAACTACTCTGCTCTCTCTAGTAAAGTTCCTATTTTACTTTTTTTTTGGCGGTGCCAGGGATCAAACTCAGCACCTTGCACTTGCCAGGCAAACACTTATTCCACTCATCTATCTTCCTGGTGCCCCCTATTTTACTGTTACCCAGTCAAAATTAAAAACACACAATGACACTAACAAGTTCTACTTATATTTTAAAAAGTTGATTTACAACAAAAGGAAAAATTTCTTTCAAAACTGTTACACAAACATTCACAAATTCAGAAGCAACAGAGAAGACCTGAATGATGACAAATGACTTGGATAATATGACCTTACGCAATCTGACTGGCCAGGGGCTCTGCCTTGGCATATGACAGGTCAAGGGACGAATATTCACCAGCTGAAAGCAAAGTAATGGGCCTGACTTTCAAAATAAATGTGTACTGGTCAACAAAGGACTCATGTAAGCTTCAATATTTCGCAGATAGAACAACCTCAATTTTTTGTTTATACTCAAAACAGAGGCTTTCCCAAACTTTTGGATTTTGCCTTTTTCCAGGCAATGGCTGCCCTCTTAGACACAATACGTGTGAGGAAGATACAGGGCAGCAGAAAAGAAATAAAAAATAAACAAAAGGTCAAATACAAGTATTAAAAAGACCAAAACTCCCTCAAACTTCATCCTTATGGAAGAAGATAAAGACTAAATAATTATTTGAATATTAACTGATTGATTTCTTGTTCAAAAAGAATACTACAAAATGTGTACTCAGTTTAATTAGCCATAAGCGATAATGATATTTCAGGTAGTGTAGAAGTTTTAACATAATTTTACATAAAAAAGTTAACGCCAATTTGACAAGCAGTCTTACCTTTGTCAAGGAATTCTAGGGAATAGAGCAACTCCCAGCTCTCCCTGGCCAATTTAAAGCTTTCCAGCACTTCAGTGGAGTTAGTGAGCTCTGCTTTATTGACTACAATGTGACGGTTTCTTCCTTTTGCTGAACAATCTTCATCATCTGAACTCTGCTTAAAGAATTTGAGGAACCCAATTAACTATAGTTACAGTCACGCACTGCAGCATTTATTTATTGCTGCCAAGTCTGCCTATCATGGGTTTTAGATGCAAGAATATAACATGCCTATAATTATTTTAAATTGGACAATTTAGTTTTGAAAATGAAGCATGCACTCATTTATGACTCAAGGTTTTTTTTTTAATGATGTTTTCTCTAACAACTTCAAACCATCCATTTTATAAAGTCCAAGAATTAGATTGTTAGGTAGAAAGATAAAACTTAGCCTTTGCTTTATTACTTTTTCACCTTAATACGTGATATTGTTTAGTTTGCTTCGCAAGAATAGCTTCTCACGCAGTGGACTAAGACTGAAGCGGGAGTCCATAAGACACAGTTCTAGAGAAGCAGCCCTTCCTACCTTGTGTGCTCTTCATCTCAAGTCATACAAGCTGAGGAATAGTGAGGGTGGCAGAGAAAGGGGACTATGAAGATGTCACTGGGCTCCACCGGACACAATGCCGAAATGCAGGGGGGTAAAACAGCCCCACTGAATGATTTTGCTAAGAATGTCTTGAATCTTTTATTGCCCTATGCTATTTTATTATTTCAAAAACCCAAATTATTCCTAAAGATTTTTACTACACTATGGTGAGTTTTAAATACACAGCAGTACATTAGCTAGAAGCTCTGTTCCCAAAGCCAAGCCCACAAGAGGCCGCAACACACCGCCGTTAGTGTCTGCTGCCCGCCACCAGTCTTTCCCTTGTGCTTTAGAGCTCAGTATCCTGCTCGTCCTTGTACCTGGGGGCTCTACCTGTCTTCTCCTGGGAATGACACATTCTCAACAACACCCATCCGTCAGGTGTCCCATTCCATCAGGGCCCTGTTCTTGCCAAGTAGTGCCGATCTACTTCACACACTAACAAGCATGTTGTATCTGTTAGTGTTGTAACTTACAGAAAACATTTCTCCCAAGCGAGATGAGGAATTTATGAAAGGATCCCTGACCGGGGGTGCGCGGCGGCCAGGGATGGCGTGGTACTATACACAGCTGGTAAAATTCTGAGAAAGCAGTTTTGAAATGAGTAAACCTACTCTGAAGCTCCTAACAGCAGTGTAACCGCATGGGACATACATGGCACGTGCCACACGGGCACAGACTGCCCACAGGAGAGGACTGCCACCAGCCCTGGCCATCCGGGCTGTCACAGGAGCCTGTCTAACATGAGTAGCCGCACCCCACTCCAGCTGTGGGCCAGCATTATGGGTATCTCCAGTGAAAAGGGGAAAGTCAGGAATACAGACCTTTATGAGAAATGCTATTTCTAATGCCTACCTGCCAAGTGATTTACAAAATAGGTAAAACAAAAACAAAACCCTAAGCACAACCAGACACACCTGTGAGCTGAGCCTGTAGGCCATCAGGTGGTCCTCTGCTGTGATAACTGGGAGGATCTGCATCAGGTAGAGGCAGACTGGGACAGAAACAGAGTAAGACCCAGGATGACATCTGTTAAGAGAAATCCCAGCTGCACTGGAAGGCCAGATGATGAGAACAGGGCTGGCAGAGAAGGGCATGACAGGCAGGAAATGGAAGAAGAGACGCCCAGGCCTCCTGAGATCCCACAGCTTGTGGGGTTTAGTTAAAACCGCAGTGATCCATGGGAATCCACTCCCTTGAAGATGCTGCCTCAGGCATTGTACCTGCTATGGCTCGGGCACTGTTCGAAACGTCCAGGACACAGTGACCAGTGATGGACAGCAGACAAAGTCCCTGGTTCCAAGGAGCCTGTGCTCCAGTGAAGGGAAGCAGACAGGAAACCGTAACCAAAAGGACAAGAACAAATACACAGCAATGAGGCTTTTGTAAATAACTGACATGAAGTAAAAAAGAAAACAATGGGTAGGGCCTTAGAGGAGCCCCAGAGGGAAGAACACTTGGGCTGGGACCTGCGGGCCAAGGTCGGAGCCTACCTGGTAGAGAGCAGAGGGAAAGCACTCCATCTGCACAGCAGTTTCGGTGGGCAGAGGCTGGGAGGCAGGCCTGGGCTCAGAGCACAAGAGCTGTGGGGGCCTGAGCATTTGCAGCCTGCAAAGGCCCGCTCGGCAGCACTTGCAAGCTCTGGCTTCAGCCTAAGTGGGATGGGAAGCAGGCAGACACTGAGGCAGCAAGAGATGTTCGGTTGGTGTTTCAAAAGATCACCCTGGCTACCAGCTAGAAGAGAATGAAGGAGCGAGAGAGAGCAGGGGGACAGGAGAACACTCTGCCTAGTAAGGGGATGTGATGCCTTCAGCCAGGGGCAGTGATGAGAAAGGAAAGAAACTGACCTTTGGGGCTATGTTACTTATCTAGAACTAGACAAGGACACACCACTACTTTTGGTTAAAACCATCAACACTCAACCTGTTGATCTATATGGAAGAAAGGCATGGCTGGGTCTGCATGGGGGGTTTCTGCATAAGCCAGAGCATTAAAGAGGAAGAGCAGTTCCTTGGCTCACACTGAATTTTCATTCGAGACTCTTGGCAAAGATGTCTGCAGTTATGTATTCTGCCTGATGTGTAGTTCACAAACAGAAGCAAAAGTCTGCCAAAGGCTTGTATTTATGAACCAAATTGCTCACAAGTGAAAGCATTTGTAAACCGAACTGTCTGGCAAGCAGTAAAGAGAGGGCAGACAGCATCTAAGAAAGCCTAGCAAGCAGAGATCTCAACCTGGGGATCACAGTAAGTTTCAAAGCATTCTGACAACTATTGAAATAATCTGCAAAATTGTGCATGCATGTATTTTGGGGAAGATTACTGAAAGTGTGAATAACCTTACATACATTTAGAATAGCTTTATGTCTCCTGGCTCCAATCCATTTTATACTACAGAGCCTACCAACAACCAGTTAATCTCATCTTAATGCACATCACTCCAGCACAATGCTACACCCAAGGAACAAAAAGGGAGTAAAGATACTGAAAACAGGGAAGAGAAAGGACAAGAAGTAGCTAAGGCTCCTGGCTCCTCTCTGGGCATTTCAATTAGAGCAGAGATTAGTAAACTACGTGATCTTCAGGCTTTTGCAAATCAAGTCTCACTGAAACACGACCACACCAGTTGCGCATACATCGCTTATGGATGCTTTTAGTCTACAGTAGCAGGGTCAGGGAGCCACGAGAGAAGCCATTTGGTCTGCACAGGTAAAAATATTGATAGAGAAGGATGCTGCCTCCTGAACTGGGGCATCTCCACTTTTATGTCACAATGAGTCTAAGGATTTCACTGCAAGAAAGGTGAGTTGTCCTACATAGACTTGCTACCCAGCCAAGTCAGCAGGCCAATGGTTCTCCATCTGCTGTTCTCTGGTATTTTTGTGTAAAGTGTCCTCAGTTCCAATTCCAACTCATAATTCTACACATCCTTCCAGACAGACTTCAAATGCTGCTCTCCTTTCTGACAGTCTCCCTGCATTTCATGTTCTTCAGACATCTCAACCCTGGCCATTCTGAGGCCAGTACCTACCGAAGAACTGCACTCTGGATACCTAACATAGTTCTGGCTTTTTAAAATAGATGTCATTAACGTAACTCAGTCAAAAACAACCAAATACTCACACAAGGCTTTGTCAAACTTGTCATTATTGACCTTTTGGGCTGTCCTGCATGTTTGGCACCATCCCCGACCTCTGTGCACTATGTGTTAATTAGCAACTACTCCCCGTCAAGAGCAGAGATATGACAATAGAAAATGTCTCTAGTCATTGTAAAACATTCCCTAAAGGACAAAACTGTCTTCAGTGAGCTCCACTCCCTTTTAAGGTAATTATATGGCATAATTTCAATTTCTGTACTTTTATCACTATAAAACCGTATTTTACAAAATTCTTTTCTAGCAAATCAAAAAATATGTTAACAATTATATCTGAAAGAATTACCATGGTTTTTTCTCTTCCCTCAGCTAGTTTCCTCTTCTTGTGTATGTGTTTATTACGATCAGCTTCTACATCACCGTACACGTTTGATACATCTTCAAGCAGGACCAGTGGAACCTGGTTTGGAGCATTAGGTCCTATGGATGGGCAGAAAACATCAACATGAAATGCAGAAAGGAAGAGAGTACTCAGGATCAGCAAGAAGCTGCTCAGCTGTCACACAACAATAAAGCTCATCAAAAATGTGTTCAGTGTGATCCCAATTAGGTAAACAGGCAAACATGTGTAGGGAAAAAATACTGCAGATGTGTACCAAACTGTTGATAAATGTTTGCTCAGTGGTTTCTTTCTCATGTACTTGTAATTTTTTTCATAATAACCACAAGTCATATATTATCATAGATTAAAAGTGACATGTACATTATAGTTATAAACACCAAATGAAACTTAAATATATGAAAAACTATAAGGCAATACAAAAATGAAAAGATTATGGGTGATTTCACCTAATTATTTCTGGTTTTAAGATATATATTCACACTCTATATGTATTACATAAGTATACAACATACTGTATTTTACCTAAAACTTTGCTTATTATGTTTTTGTAAATACTTCAAAGCGTTTTTACATTTTTTTCAAAATAGTGGCATTCAATATCTGTATTTAGTTTCACAATACCATACTATCCTTTGATATAGGAAATTTTAATGGCAATCTTAAATAAAAACTACCAAATTAAGCCACACGCAATAACCAACTACAAAGAGCAGGGCACTGGCACCACCCCAGGTTTGGATCCAACGGCAATGGTGAGAGTGTTTTTGTCCTCTCTACCATCCCCACTGAGTCCATATTTCTAAAATTTGTAAACCAACCTTGGAAGAGAGACGGCTGTATGCTATTGACATATTGGAATGCATTCTTAAAGAAGACCAACATAGTGGAATAAACCACTTGGTTTTTATATTTTGCATGAGCTTCATTATCAAAGTTGTTCATGTATCTGCAGAGGTCCTTCATCCTATGTAATATATCACTATAGCTTCTGCAAAATAAAGGGTGGTAAAACTTACTCAAATGTCTGGGCCTGTCAGCAAAAGGCTTAAAGCTTTAAATCTTTAAAATGTAGAGATCCAAACTCTACATTTACCAAATACAACTCTAAGTTTGTATATCTTTCTAAAATCAAATTTTAAAAAATAATTTTAATTGCACAAATTTGTTACAATGTGGTAATACACTTTACATGTATCGTGTTCCACGATCAAATCAGGGTAGTTAAAATTTCTATCTCCTTAAGTATGTTCAATAGATTTTTATAATCCTGTAACAAAGTACAGTGTGACATTTCAGTAGGTCTATATGCTACGCACCAATCACATCAGGGCACCGAAGTTCCCACCTCACGAGTATTTCATGCTTGGAGCCTTCACGCTCCTCTCTCCAATTTATTCACATGACAGATAATAGTTTATTGTGTGGCTAGGCATGGCTCCGCAGTAAAACATTTGCCCAGCATGCACAAGGTTCTAGCTCAAATTCCAAGCACCACAAAGTTATAGTGAACTGTAGTACCCTGCTGTTCTGTGCATCAGAACTATTTCTATTCAACTGTGTTTGAGTATCTAAACTCCCATTACCCCCAGGTGAACCTTTTCCATCTCATGTAATCATTATTATACATTCTAACCAACATTTTTACATTCTCATGAGAAATAACACATGCAATCTGCCTTTCTGAGTCCAACTTAGTTCATACAATGTATGCTGGTTCTACCCATTTTACCACAATTGGTAAAGTATTCTTTCTTATGGATCAGCTTTCTTTATCCACTGTGGGTATTAAAATCGATACCATGTCTAAGCTATTGCGAACAGGGCAGCAATAAACACAACACACAGGTGTCTCTGATGGGGTGGCATCACTTCCTCTGGGTAGTCTCCCAGGGGTAGGAGGCTTGCCTCACATTGTGGATGGATTCTTGAGGACCCCCCCTTACTATTCTCCACAGGGGCGGTACTAATTTAAATTTCCAGGTGTAAAAAGCTTCCTTTTCCTCTACATCCTCACCAGTATTTGTGAGTGTGTGTCATTTTGCTATGACTCTTCTAACTAATGTACGATGATTTCACTATGGTCTTGACTTGAATTTCCCTCAAGACTAATGAAGTTAAAACATGTTTCCATAAGTTTGTTGGCCATCTGAATTTCTTCTGAGAAGAAATACACATTAAAATTATTCTTTATTGTCTACATGTGAATGGCAAATTTCTTCTTCTGAAGTAGAGCAGTGATCAGCCCAAGACTCATGACAGAAAGATCCAAGTAACTTTTCTCTGAACTACCAGGGACAATGCTGCTGCTGAACTACCAGGAGAGCTTCAAATTCAGTATCATCCACGGGTTCATGCTTCAGCTAGGAATCTTCTGATAAAGTGTAAGCCACTCTCTTTTGCATAATTATTGTGTCACAAAATCCATCCAAAAAGAAATATACCTAGGATTATACCAGTTTTAAAAATAATGTTTTTAGCTTAAACAAGGATACTGAAATTACACAATCAAAAGATTTAATAGGCAATTTTAGAAATGTATTTATTACCGTCTTCCTTTATCCATCTGCCATTCACATCTCATTCCAACAACATTCAAAATCTTAAACAACCTCTCCCAAGGGTCCACAATCTGGGATGATTTTTCAGTCAGTCCTTCTATTACATACTTCTGGGAGCTACGCTTGCTGGGTGACATTAAATCAGAGGCATCTTGAGCACCTGACATGTGGGGAAAAAAGGAGCCTACAATTAACATCGTGCTTATTATTTATGTAGTACCCCTCCTCATTGAAAGAAAGAAGTAGTCCCCCTCCTCATTGAAAGGAGAAAAGCACAGACCCTAGGATATGACAGTTGTCCACCTTATAACAATGTTTCTATGAGTGGAGAACCGTTTTAACAATGGTGGTCCCAAAGATCACAGTACAGTTGAAAGTTCCTATTGTCTGGTCAACAGAGCTGAAGAGGCAAAAACAAAGGAACATGCTGTAGAAAAAGAAGCCCCAAGAAAATACAGAATGATGGGTTTAGCATCAAACAAGTGCCCGAAAGAATTTGAAAACATGACCTCGACAGCAAAGGTTTTCATTACTATAAAGTTCATGGTGCAGTTTCTGTTGACAAGCAAATCTATAACAGAAGGTCGGGACACAGCTCAGTGGTCCAAGTGCCTCCCTGGCAAGCACAAGGTCCTGAGTTCAATTTCAAGTACAAAAAAATAAAAATAAAAAAATTTACTGTCATCATAGGATGGAAAATAGTGGCGGTAGGGGTAGCAAGAGAAGGAGAGAGAAAAAAACACTGTGAGCTACTTGTGATACTTCTGAAGAGGGACAACTGCTCAGAAGTCGCAGGGAGGTCCCTCAGAAGGACTCCAGAAGGCAGCTTTGTCTTAAGACTCGACAGCTCTGTGCCTGTTAGTGCTGCTGCAGACTTTCCAGTGGGACAGATGTGCAGATGGCGACAGTGGTATGAAGGATCCTGGCCCCATGTAACCCAGGCTATGCATGTGCATCTTAATTTTTTAACAAAAAGAAAAGTTTACAGAATAAAAATATAAAGAAAATGCTTTTTGGTGCAACGTTCTTATATTTTAAGCTAAATTGTAAAGAAGTAAAAAAAAAACCTTAAAAAAGTTTATAAAGTAAAAATTTACAACAAGCTAAGTAAAAATTTACTACTGAAGAAAGAAAAACTTCTTCCCTACAAATGTAGTGTAACCTATAGTGTTTATAAAGCCTCAGCAACCTATGGGAATGGCGAGGCATCTGCATTCACACGCATTCACTGACTCGCCTGGAGCAACCCCAGCTTCATTCATGTTAAGTACACTCAACAGGTGTTTTACTTTTATATCTTTTTAGAATGTGTTTCTATTGAACCTTTTCTGTTTGGGTTTGGGTATGCGAGATGCAAAGACACTTATCACTACGCATCACTGCCTACAGTACTCGGGACAGTAACATGCTGTAGGCCATGCCATGCCGCCTAGGTATACAGCAGGCTACACCATCGAGGAGTATGTTATGGTTTGTATCTGGATGTTCCCCCAAAGCCTCATATAGATGTGGGGGGCCAGAGGGATTCTCAGAGATGGCTGAATCTGGGGTATGTGATTAATCTGTAGCACAATGCTTAGATTAGGGGTGAACCCCATCAGTTCACTGACTGCTCTGGTGCCACTCTAATCCCACTAGGCTGGATACAATATAAGAAACAGAGAGAAGCTTGTCTCACTATCTCTCCATTGTTGCTTGTGCTGTCCTCCACTGCCGTGAACTGCTGCCACTCTTTCATGTGCACTGGAGCCAGCCAACTATGCAGTAAATCCTCTATAAACTTTGAGCTAAACAAACCTTTCCTCCTTAGGGTCAGGTGTTTTGTCTCAGCAACAAGAGAAAGTTAACTAAGACAGAGTGTAAGTACACACTTTATGATGTGCACCCAATACAACTGCCTAACAACGCACTTCTAGAATGTATCCCCTCATTAAGAGGCTGGGGATGCAGCTCAGTGGCATAAGCACCTGCCTGGCAAGCGGGAGGTCCTGAGTTCAATCCCTAGTACCACCAAAAAAAAGCCCCCGGGGCTGGGGAGATAGCTCAGCAGAATAAGCGCTTGCCTTGTAAGCGCAAGGGCCTGAGTCTAATCCCTGGTTCCGCAAAAAAACCAAAAAACCAACTAAACAAACAAACAAACCCCCCAAAAACAAACTTGTCCTCAATAAGCACCATGTGTACATGAACAGCTGGCCACTGGACTAAGCCAAAAGTGGTGTTAAGCTGTGGTACCTATGAAGTTGAGTGCCCTATTGCTACAGCTCAGCAACCAGACTGCTTCAAGCAAGGGACAGAAGCTATTCCAGAAGCAAGTTTCATACTGTAACTGTAGTTATTATTTTTTAGATAAAATCTTTAAGAAAAACTATGATATCCAACTGTATATATCCAGAGAAAAGTAGTCAGAATGAGGGATTTTGGGATCTGCAATTTTACTGAAGCCTGTCTAAATAAAATTATAGGATATTCCCACTTACCTTGATGCTGATTTTCTATTTGAGTAGACCTAGTAACATAGTTGATATAAAATTCAGCTGCTTTGTTCAAGTATTTATATAATAAATTGGCAGGCAATCGAACATCGTGGTTGTTAATTATTAGAGGAAGTACATCACAAACTGTTGAAGGTGAAAGTGAAGAAAACAATGATCAGGTTGTCTACCATAGGACTCTGGCAAAAAGATAATTCATTTTAAGAGTTCACTTAATGTAGCATCTAAAATAAACTGGGGGGCCTCCTTGTACCACATCTATGTAAACACTGCCACAGAGAGGAATATCAGAGGAAGGAGGTAGTGAGAAAACTCCCGAGCAGATAGATGCGTCATCCCAGGTAAAGGTCCATGCTCACACCAGTGGTAGCTACACTAGGTGGATGCTGTATGTTTACCTCTATTTCTACCCATGCTTTCAGAGGTTATCAAACATTTACAAATAAAAGTTCTAAAATTCTTTCTGAACTGAGAAGATAAACAGGATTGAAACTTCATAATAGAAAGCTTTCCTTTACTTTCCACAAAAAACCTTATTCCGTTATATTCTATTTACCATTAGGAAGTAATACAAAATATGACTTTTCTTACCAAATAATTTTCTAAAGCAGTTAACAGGAGACTCTTGTTCTTCAACAGTTTCAGCATCTAATAGTACCTCCCCGAGGCCAAACTATTTCAAAATAAAATGAATCATTTAATTATGCACACTTTAAGATGTCAGAATTACATAAACAGGGATAAATTTATTTTAAATTTACCACAGGTTGTATAAGAAAACTTCTCTGAGAAAAAAATTATCACACTTCATTTTTTTTTGGTACCAGGGATCAAACTCTGGACTTGTGTTTGCCAGGCAGGTGCTTATGCCACTGAGCTATCTCCCTGGCCCTTACTACACTTCAAAGACTAGAAAATGTAACAGTACATCCACATCTGAATTCCTTCCTACAGTCTTGCTTTTGTGAGAGCTTTTGAATTTGTTAAGAACCATGAGAGAATTGCTTGTGTTTTATTCTACTCCATGCCTGGCACTTTGTAATGGTAGAAACTAACCCAAAGAAGCCCGAAAGATGGCACCGGAAAGAGTGACCAAGAGACGAGGAATGCAAAGAATGGTTTAAATCTTCACTACTGATTGGCTATGTGAAGTTACAAAAACATTTAAGATGTGCTTTCTTTAGCAGAGGCCTAGCACTTACAAATGCCTGCCAACAGCACTCAGTAATTACCAGAGACGGAAGGAAGAGCAAGAATGGAGAGAAAACAGGGTCCACAGGGCAGAAGCACATGAATAGCCTCACTGCTAAGACCAGAAACTGTGAGGCTCGTTTAACTCAATATATTCTCAAATACAAACGAAATGGACTTTTTTCCAACTCTACAGATCGCAAGTAAGTACTATGTCAGAGTTTGGTTATTATTTCCTTACGCTGGCACAACATTTCTCCTGGAAACATACAATCAAAGCTTGAGAACAATGTTGTCTTCTTAGCTTATCTGACCAGGAAGCTCCTGACATAAGTTCCATCTTATCCAGGGCTCCTCGGTTCTCTGCTCCAGCACCACGTTCACTAGAGCTCTACCATACTGATGAATCAATTGCAAATCAGTTTTGTTTTCTCTTACAAAAAGGAAAGAGCACTCTTACCCCATGTTGCACTACTGTTTCAGGGAAGCGCCTCAGAAGCAGGAGTAACATTTCTGATCGTTCCAATGTGTCGAAGCATTGTTCTGTGACCTTTAGTAACATTTCACACTGGATCCGACCAGGAAGAGTTTCAAATAAGCCTGTACACAACACATTTCACCTTTAGAAATTCTTTCAGAAAATACTAAAGCAACAGTGGTAAGGAAGGCATTTTCATGTACAGAACAGTAAAGTATCACTATGTCCAGACAGTTTCCTCATTACCTCCTTCCACTGACATCCCTTTCCATGGCAAGTTTGACACAAGGAACCCCTCAAATATATTCTGGATGCTACATTAAGCAAACTCTACATTAATTTTACCTACAACGTGGCAGCGTTTTGAATTGCATGATACTTGGCTCAAGATGTTTCCTGAGTGACCATAAAGCATTTGGAGCTCTTACTGGATCAAGAAGACAGGCAAGATGTGTCAAGAGTCATGGCACTGCTTGTTGTAAGTTAAGATAAAGAGTATGCAACGTCTAAGCTGAAATCAGTTAACTAGCTTCTTTTGTACTTTCTGCAGAATTCGCTATTTTGATTGCTATAGCAACCAATACAGAAATTTAAAGAAAAAGGTCACGAGTTAGGGACGCATCTCTTCTATCTTACAGAGATCTGGTTTATCTACTGATGCTTTCTGGCTACTGTAAAATATGTTACAAATATATTCAATTCCCTTGCTACGCTCACAGGTCCACATCCTTTAAGGAACCTTGTAGAGTTCAAAGCAAATGTTCACAGGACTAAGTGATAATATTACAGTCTTTAGTTGGCAAGAATAAAACACACATATGGATACAAATACGACAAGCATAACGCTTTAGCATAATTTCTATCTATAGTTTGGTATCCCAGAAATGGTAATTTATTCACATTTAAGATACTACTACATCCTTACTTCTTAAAAATTGGGTTTGTTTATCCTGTGAATCATTCCTTAATGCTGATGTAATAATGCTGATTTCTCTCCATACCACTGGCTGCTCCGGGAAATTCACAAACCTATTTTTAAAATGAATATATTAAATTAAAACCCAGATTCCACACAGTAACCGAAAAGAAACAAATCATTCACATTTGAAGAAAAAATGTCTTTATTCACAGTGAACGCTTCGATATGCCAAGATAAGCTAAAATAAAAAATATAAAAGTAAATGCTAATTTTAAAAAAGGAAGGCTCTCACTAAGTTTTAAAAGGTTTTTATAAGTAAAAACACAGGCAACCCTAATACATAAAGAACTAAAAATCAGCAAGAATGAAACAAAAGTAACAGTAGGAAACAAAAGAAAAAGTAGACAAGCTCAAATTATAGACTACAAATAGCCAACAGGAACAGCAGAAATAATCTTATTTGTAATATAAACAGTAAAAATTCAAAAATCAAAATAGCAACATACCACACTTTTTTATATATTGGCAAGAATTAAAGCAACTAATAAACCAGGGATTGCAATGAACGCTTGCAAAAACAGCTCCAGAAGGCTAAGGCAGGAGGATCACTTCAGAGAAAAGCTAATGATGACTGTGGGGAACAAAGTGAGACCCCGGCTCAAAAAACACAGACTGACAAGGACTGACACTATCCAATGTTGGCAAAGGTATGGGAAAACTGGTACACCACACAGCATTTATGAGAATACATACTGGGATGATGCTTTTCAGGTAGTAATTCGGTAACTGATCAAAACATGGAATATGTGTATCTTCTAACTATAGAATGACACGATGTCTAAGAATCTCCTTTCACAAAAAAAACACCAAAATATGGGCACAAACTACCATATTGTACATCATTTTAAATAACTAGAAGCTTATCTAAATGTCTATCAAAAAATTTGTGGGTATGAAGTACTAAAGGCCTCAAAAACTGGGAAAGGGTTCTATGACAACGGGGGAAGAAAGCAAGTTTCAGAATTGATATGTTCTTGGGCCGGCCAGATAGCTCAGGCTAAGTGCCTGCTTAGGCAGAACACAAAGGCTGGGGTTCAATCCCCAGCGTGCAGTGCTGCCCCTGCCCCGCGCTGAGATGGCCATTGAGACTGGGCGTGGTTGCACGCACCTGTAATCCCAGTGCTTGGGAGGCTGCAAACAGGAGGATCACTACCAGTCCGATCTGTGTAGTGAGACGAGATGCTGTTGGCCCTGTACCAAATACATATAAGAAAAAATATTGATATGATCTCACTTTTTTTTTTTTTTGCATTTTAGGGAAGGTTCTACAGGGTGTTCAGTGTCTCATGACTAGATCAGACTCCTAGTGATCCACCTGTTTACAGCCTCCCAAGAGCTGGGATTACAGGCGTTCACACCACGCCCAATCTCAATTGCCATCTCAGCACGCCCCTGCGCAGGCCGGAATGACAGGCCCAGGGATAAAACCTGGGCCCCTGCTTTCGGGCGCTTTAATCTGCTGAGCTATTTGGCTGGCCCTTGATCTCACTTTTGTAACTCCTCCCAAAGGCATGTTTGTGTGTATGATGTGTTAACATTAGTTCAGTTCACGAAGGGCTTCCCCTTTTATCCTATCACTTACTCTTCGAATGTTTGCAAGGAACATGCATTATTCCCAATAAAACAAATTATTAGATGGAAGTTTTAACAAGGATAAAATAACTTCTCTGCAAATGCCATGTCTGAGATTAAGGGTCGGCTTCGGAGTGGCACTGGGCAAGCAATGGGGCCTCGAAGATCGCTCCCACCTCCCCATTTCCATTTCCCAGGCCGGAACTGAAGACCCCTGCCGCGGCGGGGCAAGCCGCGGCCCGGGCGCACTCACATGTCGTAGAGCAGCCTCCCCGCGGTGGCGGTCCGCTCGGCATTCCGCTCGATGGTGTACATCTCGTACTGCAAGGACACGGCAGGGGGTCAGCGCTGCAGCCGAGGAGTGGACGCGGGTCTCTCCCCCGACCGAAGGGGGCGACGTCTCTAAGTAGCCGGCGCTGAACAAATGGCTGCCGCGGCGGTGAGAGGGGCGAGACGCGCCATCGGGGACGGACCCCACTACGGAGCCCCGGCCGCCGCCCCGCCTTCCGAGAGGGACGCGGGCGGAGAGGGTCGGGGCGGCCGCGCACCCCAGGAGCCCCCGCCCCCGCCCGGCCGCGCGCGGCCCTCACTCACCTGGATGTTAAAGTCCGCGGGGTAGAGGGTGCGCGCCGTGATCAGCCACGCCTTGGCTGCCCACAGGTCCTGAGGCACCAGCTCCCGGGCTCGCTGCACCAGGAACTCGCTGTCGCCCTGGGCCGACATGGTCCCGCGGTAGGGACCCGCCAGCCGCCGGGAGCTTCCGGCGCCGGGACTGCGGCGCGCGCCGCCTCGGGCCGAGCGGGCCACTGCGCATGTGCGGCGCGCGGAGCGCCGGGAGGGCCATCCGGGTTCCGCGCGCGGCCGCCGCCTGCGGGCGCTGCGCTGTCGCTCGGCGCGGGTGGGAGCGTGCGGGCTGGCCCGAGTCGCCGGGAAGCGCCGGAGAAACGGAGGATTTGCGTCCCGAGCGGCTCGGTGGAGTGAGAGAGCACGCGCGGGGCTCTGCGGCGCCTTGCTCTGCGCGCTTGCCGCGTCCTTCCCTCGGCCTGTGGGCTCGCGGCGCGGCCAGCGGGCTGCGGACTGCGGGCTGCGGGTGTCCCTGGATGCGGGGACTGGGCCTGGCCTCGGTGTGAGGAAACGCCGAGGGCGGGCAGGCGAGAGGAGGGGCGGGGTGGTGCGGGGGCGCGGGGCCGGGCTGGGGCTGGCCTCTTTTTTTTCTTCGGTAAACACACCCACGCTTTGTGCTTCTCTGGTCTTTATTAGTTTCTTTAACAAGCATGTATTGAGAAGTTACTGTTGCTAGTATTATTTTTACCATTAGCATTTGGAGAATATTTTTCGAAATACGTTGGGAGCCGCGAAAAAAATCTAGTCACTCACTCTGAAAGGGGTTTGTTTTGGACCAGAATGTGGCCAGTGGGGAAAAAAAAAAAACCACAATTTAAATTATTGCCTCCGGCCAGAATCAGTACACTTTCACCAAAACTCTAGATTTGTTTTCTATTTGAGAGAAGAGAAAAAAACAGTGTAAGCTTTGTTGATAAAGTAGTCTGTTAAATGGGAAAAAAGAACCGGAAAGTGGTCTTAGTTTTTAATCCAAGTTCTGTGTTCAGAATTTTATCAACTTCTTTTGTCCC